AAATTATAATATAATAAAATTAATCCAACCAAACACACTTCTATATTTAATGGACCAAAAAGTAGAGGCAAAATGAAACCATCGAAATTTTTTAGACGGTTGATCACAAGTGAGTCTTATACGGTTTAAAAATATTGAATATTTAAGTTTCAAAAATATAAATTAACCTCAGATATATAAATTAAATGTCTATTTTTAGGTTTTTTTTTTTTTATACTCCATTTGTACTGTAGTTATTCAATTTCCAAAGCCAATATAAACATAGAGCCACATACTTTAATTAGGTGGCCTCGAGGCATTACCAATTAACCAAATTACGTATCCTCTTAGCAAACTACCTTGCCTTCTATTTTGTTAGCGTGGTTTTATCTTTTTGGCCAGCTGAATCCAAGCGAAACATCCAACAACAAATATTGGAGGATAAGGACACACGTTTGAAGGTCTTATCCTTTCTGCAGATCGGGATTAACACGAAAGCCAAAAGGGTTTGCCACATTGAGAATCAAAAAGGGGACTTTTTCTTCACTTTAGATATTCAGATCGGATAAAGAAAGTGGCGGTCCTCAGGCCTGACTCCTGACTCAACTTTTTGACCTTTTTGAGCATAATGGAAAAGTAGGAATCAAATTATACAAACCCCATAATCTTAGGGCATTTCATATACGCGTGGCCAAAGTCATCTTGTTGGGGACAATTTTTTTTTAGCAGTGCTAGGGCACTCGCTTCTTGTATTCTACGCCGATCACTTTCACTTTTATTGGGCCACGTTATCTTGGTTTTTTTAGAGGTTGATTTCAAAGCTTAAACAAGCTTACGTGGCCCAATGAAAGTGGAAGTGTTGGGCGGAGACTGCAAGAGGCGAGTGCCCCTAGCATTGCTCTTTTTTTTTTCTCTCTCTCTCTTTAGTTTAAAAATGGATAGCGTGTCTTAAATGAAAGACTTTTTCTAATATGTATATAACTTTGTATATGAAAAATATAAGAATTAATAGTAATTTTAATTAATATCAAGTGAATGAATTTAATTAGAAGGTTAATAAATTAAATATTAATTTTTATTTTTAATATAAATTTATAACAAAAATATATATTTATTACATCTTTAAGTCATATCATTATGGCACTTACTAGAAAAATTCTAAATTAAATTATGTGCTTCAATTTTAAAGGCAACATTTACTTCCTTTTGTTATGAATCAATTCATTATAGATGTTTCATTTTCTTTATCTTCTCACTGTCCAAGACATTTACATACCAAGTAATGGTGTAGCTTCCATTACCTCTATACAATTACAAAGGTGATTAACACCCCCATAATGCCATGCATTTAGATGATGATAATGAAATTTCTTATAACTCATTTATTAGTAGGAGATTAATCATTGTAATCTCTTATTTAGTAGGTGTTTAGTTTTTGTAACTCCTATTACCTATTCGCCCCTTATATATAAGGCTTGTCCTATTGGAAATGTATAGAGAACAAATGAAGAACAAATGGAGAAGAAATGAATAAAAATATAATATATCTTTATATTACTTCACTTTGTCTCTCTAATTTTTCTTTTTCTTCTAATTAATTCTTTATTTATTTTATAACACGTTATCAACACAACTTGTCTCTGAATGAATTATTATTCATGAATCCTATTTGAGGTTATGAATCAATTGAGATAAAGATATAAGTTGAGGTAAAGTTTCAAGATAAGATTTTGAAACAATCTAGTCTTTTAATTTCTTGTTTTCTAATTTAAATATTCTATGAAGCTATAACGATTTTTTAATTTATATCTTATTTTACACTTGTCAAAAGACTTGAGTTCATTGCCCTTGATTAATTGGACTCCAACTATATCATGAACTCTTGATGTGAAAATTCTTTTACCTCCAATGAATCTTGAAGATTCAATTGTGGAAGGAAATAAAATATCTCTTGAAGAAAGAAAATACTCTTGAAGAAAAGGGCATCCTTGAAGGAAAGGGCATCCTTGAAGGATTGTGATGAAATGATATTTCTTCATTATGAAGTCGAAAAAGGACCAAGAGATGAAAATTTGATGATGAATGATTCATTGGAACCATGGAATTATTTGGAAGAAAGATGCTCATCAAAAGAAAAATTGCAATTCTTCCAAAAAGCTAGCTATGAATGGATCTATTATTACTTGAGTATAAATCCACAAATATTTTGAATTATTTCTTGTGGAGAAAAATTATTATTGATGAAAATATTAGAGAAGATGCATTATTCTTTTCATGCCTCGAATATACTCCAAAAGTAGCAACCTCAAGAGGCTAATTTTAATATATATATATATATATATTCAAAGTATATATACCTGTCTTCTTGTTGCCAACAAAACTATGAATTGATGAAAAATCATCAATCACAACCATTGATTTGACTCCATTCCATGAAGAGAATGTGATATCATATTTTATGAAGTCATTATAATCACTATGGTTGTGAAATAAAATATGCAAAATAAGTTGGCAAAGAATTTGAGAATTCTTAGATGTGACATAAACGAATATTGGTCACATACCTTTTGTATATTTAAGTAATTTATGTGCTTATCATA